TTTTTTTGAGTTGGAGTCTCACTTTGTTGCCCAGACTGGAGTGCAGTGGCCGCTCCCAGCCACCGTAGCCTGACCTGCTGGGCTCCGGCTATCCTTCCGCCTCAGCCTTCTAAGTAGCTGGAACTACAGGCGCGCGATACCACGCCCGGCTAATTTTTGATTTATTGTAGAGATGAGGTCTCTCATGATTTTAAATTTTAACAATGACTCCATCTTATCTATTTTGTTGTTTTATCAGCTAAAACTTTTTGTCTTTTTAGTGGTTGTATTAGGATTTTTAATATAATTACTACCACATTTTGCCTTTACGTTATATTTTACTACTTTATCTTTATGACAAGTACCTTTATAACACTATACTTTCATTTCTTCTGTCCTGGACATTGTACTATTTTCTTGTCATATATTTTACTTCTACATATATTATGTACCCCATAATACATTTTTACTAATTCTGATTTAAACAATAAATTATGTTTTATGGAGTTTTTTCAAAAGTCTCTTATTTATTTATCATTTCTGGAGTACTTCATTCTTTTGGTACATAAGATTTCCATCTGTTATCATGTTTCTTCTATCTGAAGGACTTCTTTGACTGTTTCTTTAGTGAAGGTTTACTGGTAGAAATTATTTCCACTGTATATCTGACATGATCTTTATTTTTCCTTTGTGTTTGAAAGGTATTTTCGTATGAGTACAGAATTCTAGGTTGACTTTTTAAAAGTTGTGGCTCCACTGTTTTTTGGCTTGCACTGTTTCAGATGAGAAGTTTGTTCTCATTATTATCTCTTGACCTCTAAATAAAACATGTCTCTCCCAGTTTAAGATAATCTTTTTATGATTTTAAGCATTTTGATTATGATATGTCTTTCTGTAGGTTTTTTGCCTACCTTCTTTTTTTGTTTTGTTTTGTTTTGTTTTTGAGTTGGAGTCTCACTCTGCCGCCCAGACTGGAGTACAGTGGCCGCTCCCGGCCACCGCAGCCTCGACCTGCTGGGCTCTGGCAATCCTTCCGCCTCAGCCTTCCAAGTAGCCGGAATTACAGGCATGCACTACCACGCCCGACTGATTTTTTGATTTATTGTAGAGATGAGGTCTCGCTGCCCAGGCGGGTCTCGAACCCACGGGCTCAGGCAATCCACTCACCTCAGGCTCCCAAAAGCGTGGGATTACAGGCTGAGCCACCGAGCCCGGCTTGTTTTTTTTTTTTAAATGAGCTTTTTTGAACCTTTTAAGTTTGTGGATTTATAGTTTCCATCAGATTTAGAAAATTTTTAGCTTTATTTCTTCAAATATCTTTCTGTTTCCTTTTTTACATTGGAAACTTCAGTTACATATTTCTCAGGCCGAAGTTGTTCACCCGGTCACTGATGAACAATCCTTTTCATTTTTGTTTTATCTTCTTCATCTGTCTAGTCAATTTTGGATAGTTTCTTTTGCTATCTTTCATGCTTCTCTCTTCACATACTGTGCTTTTCTCTAATTTTTTCTAGAATATATATAGTTATAATAACTCTTAATGACTTTATGTACTAATTCTGTTGGCTGTGCCATTTCTGTGTTTGTTTAGATAGATTGACTTCCATTATTATGGGATTTTT